TAGCTCAGTGGCACTGCACCTGCCTGGCAAGCTCAAGGTCCTGAGTTCGATTTCCAGTACTGGGTGGGGGGGAATGGATAGTTGAAAGCACCAAATTTATGATCATGACTTGGTCTTTCTGGTGACCAGTCCCCATTCGTGAGCCTACCAAAAGTCACCTCTTAGAACAGAAGAAATTCCTATCACCTAGAAATCCAAGGGATTTAAGAGCTCTGTGTCAAATGTCCCTGGAAATTACCCAGGTCTTAGGAGTTGTAGTCATAAACTGGTACAGAAACCAGCTATTAGAACAGAAGATTCTTCTAGCACCACTGTCACTCAAGAAATTACAAGTTTTAGAAGCTTTGTTTCAGAGACTGGGATAAGAGAGCAATATATTTCTTATTCTTTCACAGAATTATGATTGCCATTTTACTGTTGTCTGGCCGTTTTATAGATCATGTGTTCCTCCTTTATCTCTTACCTTCTTTTGTGACTAGTTGATATATATTGCTGATACGCTTTGATTTTTTACTTTTATCTTTTGTGTATCTGCTGTAGGTTTTTGCTTTTTAGTTATCATGAAGCTTACATAAAACATCTTATAATTATAACAGATTATTTTGACCTAATAACAATTTAACTTTGATCCTATTAAAAAATCTACGCTTTTAATCTCCGTCTACATTTTACTTTTTGATGTCACAATTTCTATCATTTCATATTATATATCTCAACAAATTATTGTTACTATTCTCAAATGTTTGTCTTTTAATCTTCATACTAAAGATGTGATTTTCACATATACTTTCATATATTTTCACGGTACTAATTAGCATTATTTCCTTTTTTTTTCTTTTTATTGAGTTTATTGGTACAATCTAGGTATACAATACAATTACATTCATCATTGGAATTCTGTACCTTTACATAATAGGTCTTGGTTCTCATTTTTCCCCTTGTCCCTGCCCTCCCTTCACACCCTCCTCCCCTCCCCATTTACAAACACTTTATTTCCATTTTTTCAGTTTCTCATATTTTTTCCTCTCCCTTATTACCTTTTCCCCACCCTTCCCACTTTCCCTACATCTTTAGCCCTTGACTTCCTATTTTACTTTATTAATTATCTCATTAGGATCCTGTGTACTATTATAGTTTTTCACACCAAAGAAACTATTCGGTATTTCGGTTAAAGAAATCTCTGTATGAACATTAAAAATAGGGAATCCTAAAATAAAACTAAAAAGGAAAGTAAAAGAGAAAAGGCAATGATGTAACATTAAAATAGTCCTTAATTCTGGAGATGAAAATGGTCCCTGAACATATTTAAATTGCTTCTCGCTCTTATAGTCTTATCTTACTCTTTTTTTCATTATTTAGAGAATACTTTATTAGTTTCTGTAATCTGTTTTCTTTTAACTTAAGAATTACGTTTAGCATTCCTAAAGAAAAGTTTGATAGCAATGAGTTCCCTTAGATTTTGTCTGGGAAAGTCTCTATCTCACCTTCACTTCTGAAGGATATTTTGTCAAGTATAATATTCTTGGCTGGCATACTTTTTTCCTTTCAGCAGTTTGAACATATCGTCCCATTCTTTGTTTGTTTGTTTGGTTGGTTGGTTTTTTGAGACAGGGTCTCACTATGTAGTTCGGAATGCACTGGAACTCACCATGTAGCCCAGGCCGGTCTCGAACTCAGTGATCCTCCTTCCTTAGCCTCCCAAGTGCCGGGATTATAGGCATGCGCCACCGTGCCCAGCTATCATCCCATTCTTATCTAACCTGTGTTTCTACTGAGAAACCTACTGTTAGCCTTATTAGAATATCTTTATATTTGCTTTGTTTCAGGATCTTCTCTTTACCTTTTATTATCACTTATGTCTTTATCCAGAGTGGGAAATGTTTCTATTCTTCCTTTAAGTCATAAGGTTCTGATCCTTTGTCTTTCTTTTCTTCTTCTTAAGGTCCTATAATTCCAGAATTTTATACTTCCCCCACTTCTGTAAGCTTTAATTTCTTTTCATTTTTTTTCCTCACCTGACTATATTTTCAAACAATCATTCATGAAGTTCACAAATTCTTTTGTCTACCTGATGAATTCTGCTGTTCGCAATCTGTTGCATTTTTTCATTTCATCCATTATATTTTTAAGCTCTAGAATTTTTAAAAATTAATTTTATTGGTACATTTAATGTATGCAGTATAATGAAATTCATTTTGGAAATTTGTACCTTTACATAATCAATCTTAGTTCTTATTTTTTTCTCCATTCCCCTGCCCTCCCTTCAACCCCTTCCTCCCTCCCTATCTAAAAAGACTTTGTTTCCATTATTTTCATTTTCTCATATTAATTCCATTCCCTTCTTTCCTTTCCCTTACCCCTTCCATTTCCCCTTCCCCTTTGTCCCTTTTTATAAAGCTCTAGAATCTTTTTATAACTTTATCCTATGAAGTTCTCATTTTGATCATTATTGTTTTGTAGTATTTTTTAATTTTCATGAAGTCTATCATGTTCAGCTAAAGTAATTATTTGAAGTATTTGTCAGTTCATAAATTTCCATTTTTAGAGTCATTTCTGGTGCTTCATTTTTCTGTTTGATGGTATCATGTTTGTGATAGTTCATGGTCCTTGTTGTGTATGGTGTCTGCATGTTTGACAAAATGGATTTTTTTCCCCCACGTTTTGCAAATTGTCATTCTTTGGAAAAGCCTTTCACTGGCTGTGCAGAGATCTAGGGCAGGCCATCCAGATGTGGTCTGTGAGAAGGCATGCTCCTAGAATTTGTGGGCAGTCTGGCCTGGTACCTGGACCAAGAGGTGGGTGGCCTTGGTGTCTGAGTCTTAGGGGGTTTGGGCATAGAGTCTGGAAACACTGGGGTGGCCTTACTGACTTTTTCTTACTGGACCCTGGGTCTGTAAAGCTGACTTGTTTTTTCTATTCCTCAGTCCTTTTGGCTAAAAAATCTTTTACTTTCTTATAACTCCATCCCAGAAACTACTTATAATCCTTGGAGCTTTTCAGTTATTTCCTGAGGGGACCATACTGATGCAGTTAATGTTTCCTACTGTATGTTTAAAAAGAGGCTTTTGATATCATTTAATTATGGCCCACTGCCTTTTCAATGCAGCACAGGTGACCCAAGAGACTCAGCTAAGAAAGCCTTATAAAAACAGTGAGTTTAGTTAGATCACACAATGAATATACAAAGCTCAGTCATTTTCATGAGGAAATTAGATAATATAACAGAAACAGAAATTCCATCACAGTAGCAAAAATAAATATAAAATTCCTAGGTATGAACTTGATAAGAATGTAGAATATAAATGAAAGAAAACCACTACAAAAAGCCAGGGAAGGATCTAAGTAAAGATCTAAGTAAAGGCACTGGGGATTGAATTCAGGACCTTGCATTTGTGAGGCAGATGCAGCACCACTGAGCTAAATTCCCAGCCCATAAAGATAAATTTTGAATAAATACTAGACCATATCATGCTTCTAGTTGGGATAGCTCTGAGTAACCCAAATGATCCTAAGTCCCCCAGATTTACAAATGCAAGTGTTTCTTTGATAGCTGAATAAAATGGCTCTATTTCCATGTATTGTGGAAAATCTATCACTTTTTCAAAAACTTCTAAGCATTTCCAGAGATGATAGAGGGGCTTATGTTCCCTTAAACAAAATAAACTACTATTACTGTTTTATTCTTTTCTTACTATTGCTGGTTAGCTCTGGGTCTCTGCTTTAGTAAAAATGGAAATTAAAAAGAAAGCACAATTTTACGGGGGAAAAAAGCTTTAATTGGAAAGTTTACAAGGATAACAGGAAAGGACTCAGGCTTAGGTAGCTGGTTGGGCACACCCTGATACGGAGGTTGAGAATAGCCTACCCACTAAGGCAGGAGGCCAGCATTTCAGGACTAGCTGATGGGCTGGCTTCCCATTGATCATTCTCTCAGTCCTAGTATCAGAGTTCTGGAATCTTGATTGTTGAGGGCTGGTTTCATTCCCAGGAAAGGATTATCTCTTATTGTGGTGGTCTCAGTCATGTAAGGATCCATCTTCCCTGAAATCCAGGTAATCACAGGCTTAGGACAATGGCTGGAGGCTTCTAGGTATAGTTGCATATCCCTGTAAACCTCTTATCTTGGTATCCTCAGTCTTGAAAGGGAATGAGATCCTATAAATTCCGGACTAATCAACCCTGTCTTGCCAGGTCCTAAAAACACACTCCCTAAATGATCAACATACCCCCCGCAAATCTGTGAAGAAATTTGACCCAAGATTTACAGTAACAAAGAATATTTAAAAAGCTTTTTTCTGCTTTTAGTTAACTGTTGGACATATGTAAGCCCAAGGGAAGGGTCACAGTTTATAGCAAAAATGATTTTTAAGGGCTGGGGATTTAGCTCAGTGGTGCTGCTGCCTGCTTCACAAGTGCAAAGTCCCAAGTTCAATCCCCGATACCAAAAAAAAAAAAAAAAATGTTTTTAAATCCCTGACTATCCCAAAAGAAAATACAAATCATGCCTTTAATGACTAGCAGACATGGGCCCAAGATTCTTTTTTGCTACCACCATGTGGTCCCTGACTGTGCCATGACTGTGTCATTACTTGATCATTGAGTTGTTAATTTATCCACCATTACTTATTACATATTTTTTTAGTATCATACATATTGCCATATCCCAAGCATTCTGTAGACAGTCACTAACCTGCTTATGACTGCTTGGTCCACTGCTGTTAGTACTTTCTAAATATTCCATACCAGTTCTATATTTTGTAATAAAAATGATAAAAGGTTATTTTAAATAATACAATTTCAAGTATGGTGAAGCTTTCTGGTTCTTTTCCTTTTATTTTTGTGACCACCTTTGCAGGAATGGATTAAAGAAATTTGTTTTTTTTCCTTTTCCCAGATGAAAGTGTTTTAGACTTTACAACCAAGCTCATGTTGAGTGGAGATCTATCTGATTATAAATTCTGTTCCCTGGATGTAACAATTTTTTTCTCCTGTTTTCCTAGACAGAATCATGAATAAACTGGACGATAAGCAGGACCAGATGATACCATGAAGAGAAGTTTACAGGCCCTCTATTGCCAACTGTTAAGTAAGTTCATAACACATCTTCTTTCCTAGAATATACCAGTGTTACTGCTTGCAAAGTGCCAGAAACATACACTTCCTGGAAAAAGACCGGGGTTGAGTCAGTGAAAAAGAACAGTAAATTTTCCCTCAGCTTCATCTGAATAGAATACCATGTATTAAGTCATTCCAATGTGTTGGGCATCAGTTGTAATATAGATTCCATTATAATAATTCTAACATGATGTGTTGAACATAGTTAACTTGAAAATTCCTGTCAAAAATGTTTTTGCTTTTGCTTTTATAGTAGAATACAGAGTCTTCCCCGTATAAGGGTCACATACCCTTCAGAGAAGGGAAGGCAGGCTTTGTGGTAAAAGAAACAAGAAATGATAAAACAGCATAGAAAATTAGGAGGCAGCAAAATGTTTGTTGAGTTCATCTATGCTGATTGTGTACCCCAAAGTTTGTATAATGTTTTAAGATCATATATTATTTGAAGGGCATTGGGTGAGTTATTTTGCAGTTTTGAGACAAGTTTTATACTATGGCAGGGTCTGTCCTCTAAAGTGAATAATTATAAAGGATTCCAACTTGAAATAATCCCAAATATCAGAAGAGCTGGAAACCACCATAGAAATCAACTATATTTGAATTCCTTGTTTACAAAACTTGCTGGGATATATAGATAGCTCAGAGTTGGTAGTTCTTTGCTGGTTAGGCGATAGGTAGCAACCCTCACTAAATCATTCTTAGTATTGGCATGCATATACAATATAATAACTCAAGTGTTTCATTGGTAGCCAGTTATTATGTTGTGCCTATGTTAACATTGTCCACAAATACAATGTTTCTGTCATGTCCAAAGCAGACTTGAAAACTAAAGAATCAACACACATTTAATATGCTATATAAATAATTTTAAAACACTTTTAATTTAGGAAAAAAAAACTGACTATTCTGGTTATTCACTGTTATGTGACAAATTACTCTAAAACCTCATGGCTTAAGCAATAAAAACCATTTATCATACTCATGAATCTGCAGCTTGGGCAGGGCTTGGCAGACACCCCTGTCTCTGCTATGCAGTATATGGGATCTGGGTGGAATGACTCCAGCAGCCAAGGATTGGAGCAGCTGGGGCTGGTCCAGTGTTTCTCTCCCTGAGGCCTTCTCACATGTCAAGCTTACGCTTCCTCACAGCATGCTGTCTTCTAGGCAGCCAGACTTCTTACATGGCAGCTTGCCATTATGAGGCTAGGTTGAAGGTTCCAAAACAATATGACATTAGTGAGCTTTTTAAGCACTATAACGAAATCCTTGAGGCAGTACTTTATAAAGATGTCTGTTTGGTCTCACTATTATGGAGATGCAAGATATAAGGGCCACATCTGAGAATGCCCTTCTTGCTGGCAGAGTACCAGAATAACACAAAGCATCACATGGTAAGAGACAAGGAGAGTGTGTGTGTGTATGTGTGGTCTTTTTCCCTCTTCTTATAAAATTACCAGCCTTCAGTCCTGGGACTTCACCTCAATGGCTTTATCTAACCTGAATCACTTTTCAAAAATGTTGCCTGTAAACATCACAGCCAGATTAAGTTCTCATCCTCTCACTGCCTTACAGTAGGGATTAAATTTCAACATGTGAAATTTTAGGGATCATTAAAAGCATAGCTAAACTATAGCAATTACTTATATACCCTTTGTACTGGCCAAGGAATTTGCTGAAATCAGTCTTGATTCGAGGAGAATTGAATTAAGCTCCACCTCTCAAAGGAAGGAGCATAACAATTTGTAATTATCTGTAATCTACCACAGAAAGTACCTCTGCTCGAACAAAAAAAAAAAAAAGACATTGCTGGTTGACACTAGCCAGTTCGTGAGTTGCCATGAATAGGCATAGAAACCCCTGTCTCTTGAGGACCTACTGTGCTCACAAGTGCTTGCTAATCTGTTTCCATGAGTCATCTCATTTGTTCCAGTGCTTCAAGCTTCAGTGAAGAAGTATTTCAGGTGAATTAGTTAAGGACTGGCTCAGCAGACCCATGCAATGAGTGACGGAATTTCAGTTCATGTCCAAGCCACTCTGACCCTTGCCTGTATGCCCTTTTTTTTTTTAATCCTGTTGCGGTATCCCCAATACATACAGGAGAAATCAGCAGTATGGCCCCTCCTTGTGGCTGGTATGGATGGATGAGTGTAACTCATGATCAGTAAATTTTACATTCTTTTATTGTTGTTAGATGAAACTTTAAAAAAAACAGCCTCTCTCTGGATCAGTGTCACAGTCAATACTCACTATGGCTGTGTGTCATTTTGGGGCTGAGGGATATAGTCTTTGCAACATGGGCAGTTGATATTTTAATATTTTATTTTATTGGGTTCAATCCCAGCCCTGAAAAAAAAACTTAATTAGAACTGACTCTGTGCCTATGTTTTCATTTTGTGGGATCCACTCACAGTTTTGAGCATTTCATCCCCAAGCTTTAGCCCTCTGGGAAAGTTTAATACATTTTATATGATACCTTGGAACAACTGAAGCTTGGGGTGAGACTGGCAATAAGAACCTTTATGGATATTTAAAAACAAAATGATGTCATTGATTTTTCTTTTAAGAACCATAAAATCAGTTAGGTTTACGTTAGTGCTAATAATGTGGTTTCAAACCAGGAGCTCAGAGTTCAAATCCTAACCCCACCACGTTCTAGGTAACTTACTTTAGGTGAGTTATTTAACCTTAGGGAAACTCTGATGTAAAATGGGACACGACTTGACCATTTTATGGTGGTATAGGGTGAGATATGGGGCATGTAGAAGACTACAGTGAGTGACAGTTCCCTTGTTGGCCTTCCTGTCCAGAAGTGATGGATGCAGCCTCACTGTCGCATTTATATGGAATCTTCTGTGTCACAAAGTTTTTTCCTATCCTTTGATCCTCACAACAACTTTATAAGGCAAGTGGGGCATTAATTATTACTGACTGTGTTTTGCAGAGGTGGAAATCAGCACAATCCAGCCTGCCTTTCCCAAGCCACATCACCGTTTGGTTTAAAAAAAGAAAAAAGTAGTAATGGAAAGGCACATCCTTGCAAACCTGTAAGAACATGTCACTCTCCAGAAGGCATTTTGTCTAGATCATGAGTGAGAGTGATTTTTCTTTACCTGGGTGCTATGTATGGAATTTTTTGTTCATTGTTAAAACTAAGAATAATTATGATGTTATGAAAATATAGTCTTTGTATACCAAGATCTATTCACATCAGAATTGTTTGAATACTTAGAGTTAGGGAATAATTACATTTAGTAACTTAAATGTTTGCTCCACACTCACATATTTGAGTTTCTTAATTATGCTCTGTAGTATTATTAGTGTACCCTACTTGTTCACTCATACATACTCTGTATATTCTGACTGATTGTGCAAAATAACCCTCTGCTCAATCGGAGAAATGCCTGCAGGTCCCTGTCTCACTCACAAAGAGGATGAGAAAGAATCTAGTGTGCATTTGGGCCCCTACCTTGTGGAATTTAGAAGGAAAAATGTACTCCCTTTCCTGTTACTGTTATCTGAGACATGAAGACTGTGTCTCAGTCTCAGATTTGAATTATGCATATGGATATGCACACAAACACACCCATATTATCTGCCTCTGGAGTCTCTTCAAGGCATAAAGAGAAATTAATTGGGTGTAGAGGTTATTTCCACTTGGAACTTGTTTTCTGATGGCATAATTTGCTTCTCACCTGATCTCTAGAACTGAGCAAAAACCTTTGAAAATATTTTAACATGCTTCTACCCACTTGAACTACTAGTAGTACATACATGATTATCTCATGCCACCCAGTGAGACAGCCATGAATGTACCACTGGTGGTTCAGAGCTGCCCAGCAGCAAGACATACAAATTATGGCCCCACCATAAATGTGTTAAAGTGGGAAAACTATCATTGGTACTTTTTCAACACTATCCCTTCTTTTAGTTTTTTGGAGACAAGATCTCACTGTGTAGCTCAGGCTAGGCTTGAACTAGTGGCGGTACTCCTGCCTCAGGTTCCTGAGTACTGAGATTACAGGTGTATGCCACCACGCCCTGTCCTATACTAGGGGCACCTTGCCCACCACCTACCTAGTGGTTTTGTTCTGCTCTCCAGCCACTTTTTATACTAGAAATATCCATGTCATACTATCTTCCACAAGGGATTAATGTCTGCTCTCTGTTTTTCCTCCATGCTTATCCTATTCTTTTAATAAACCCAAGGTCCCACCATGGTATCTTCTGAGGCCAGTTGTCCTATTGTGCCATGTGATCTGCAGTTCTCTTATGTTTCATGAAGATGGAAATTAATTTGACTGAACTAATTAATGCCAAAGTGTGCTCATTGGTTAGGAAGAGTGAAGGAGCTCCTCTCTTCTTAACTCTCAAGGATATTTTCAATTTTAAGGAAATTAACTATCTTTTTAATGCAAAATTATTTTTCTATCATTTTAAACATTTTTTATCATTTTAAGCAGCCACATCAGCAGCTTAAATAGGCAATGTTTCCCAAGGCCTGTCCATTTGTCTAGGTCTCCCTGAGTTATAGGTCTGGATTCCAGATCATTCTTTTTTTATTTTTTATTTTTTTTGGAGGGGTGGGCTAGGGTGTTTGTCTGTGTGTGTATGTTTACAACTGCTGTATAGTTCTGCAACCTCCAGGCCTTAATTATTTTGCCTCATCTCTTTCCTCTGTCCATCTGACACCAGAAACCATTTCTCATGGCTTATATGCCCTCTTGTCTCATCCCCATTCTTGTGGATTTCCTAGCCCCCAATACCTGAAGTCATGCTTAACTTACTTTCTGTCCCTGGGTACATTTCCATTACCAGTTCCTGCTGACTCTAACATGTGAATCCATTCAGTTCTCTGCTTCCTCATTATTTCTGCTTGGGACAGAACTTCTTTGTTGTCCCCTGCTTATTGTCCTGGTCTCAGGCCCCCTCCTTCTAATTCATCCTAGAATTACAACAAAATTAGATGCCTGC